GTAAACAAATATACATATATTAAACGTATAATATACGGATACACATAATCTAAGTTACGTATAATAAACGAATATATTTAGTTGAAGATTAATATAAATCATGGATATTTTTGGGTCAAAAGATAGATATTCAACGTATATTATGTGTGTAATAAACGTAAGTTCTAACGTATATTCAACGTTTTAAATACGTATATATTAGTGGCAAAAATTACGTTTATAATTAGTGTATATACGAGTATATTTATGTAATTAGCAACGTATAAATTACGTTTAAAATACGTATAATATACTAGTAGTTTAAATTTGGGATATGATTCGTGTATCGTATACGTGTATTTTAGTATAAATTTCGTGGATTAACATGTAAAGATCACGTGTATATTTAGTTTATATACGAGTATATTTGGTGTAGTCAGCAACATATAAATTACGTTTAAAATACGTGTATAATACATATATAATACGTATATAATTCGTATATAATAGTAGTATAAATTTGGGATATGATGCGTATATCATATACGTGTATTTTAGTATAAATCTCGTGGATTGATACTTTTAAAGATCACGTGTATGCTTAGTTTATATACGAGTATATTTGGTGTATTCAGCAACATATAAATTATGTTTAAAATACGTATATAATAGTAGTATGAATTTGGCATATGATGCGTATATCATATACGTGTATTTTAGTATAAACTTCGTGGATAAACATGTAAAAATAATGTTTATATTTAAGTAGTATATATTTGGTGTAGGTAATACCTTTATATTATGTACATTTTTAATATTATAATTTACATGGATTCAAATTCAACATTTAAGTAACGTTTATATGGATCCAGAAAGGTGTCAGTAGAAAATGTAGAATATGCACTTTTTATTTTTATAAGAGTATTATAGTAGTTTATTAATTTTAGTTATATATATATAAATATATTAGTATTTATATAATCACAAAAATCATGTTTTTATATTAATATAAATCAATAATCATATTATTAGGATTTCCTCTTAGGAGCCTGCTTTAGCCAATCACTCATATGCATTTTTATCAGTTTCAGTGATTCTTCAGGAAACATGAACTTCACAGCATCTGTGAAAAATATAAAATAATATATAATTAGCTGCTCCTAAAACTCAAAGTTGTCTGGATTTAATAATAAGTAATTTATTATTATTAATTACAAATTAAATCAAAAGCAGTTATTTAGTTGTGTGAAAACGATAAACAAAAACTGTATCCCTAAATAACTGAATGAATTTAAAAAGTCAATCCGATATCTTCTTACTTTCCAAAAGTACTTTTAGTCATTTAGAAAAAAATATATAGGTTTTTAGTTGAAAAGGTAAAGTAAAGATTAAGTGATGATTGTGAGGCAGTTTAATACTATACCTATGAAAACTAAGCCTAACCTATTAGAAGTTGTGCTCATGGTCAGTTTTTGATGAAATTAAAATTATTAAAATTATTGATTTTCTACTGTATAGTTTTAACCTAATTTTTTTACTTTAGTATCATACCTATTATTATTGTACAAATTTCCATTTTTCCAAATGCTCGCTTCTCTCCTCTTCCTTCCATATTCAATCCCTCAGCCATGCGATTTTCAAAAACTATCTTCATAATTTGATATGTTGTTCTTTTTGAGTCAAATGACTTTCCATTTCTGCGAATAACTTTAGCCTATTTATAGGAAAAAAAAAACTTTATATTATAATAAAATAATAACAATAAAAAAAAAAACATACTAAGATTTGTTTTAGTTCTTCATCGGCTTCAAGACTGTCAAGTTGTTCCATGGTCCCTAACGGTATTTTTAAATTTGACCGAGTTATATTTTCAACAGTTTGATTTTGAGTTGTTTGGTTGTTCTGTCTGTCATTTACTTCTGCTATTAAATTTTGATTTTTCATAACATCAATTTTTATAACATTTATATCCTTTTGAAGGGAAACCATTTGATTAAACACTGAAAATACAACAATTTACAATTTTTTTAAATTCTAAACAGAGTGGAAAATGTATTTAAGGGGATTGGAAGCGATCATTTTTTGTTTTTGTCTAACATAAGCGGAACATAGGAAAAATAGCTATACGCCTGACAAAAATTAAGCTATTTCTAGTTGTTCGATTTAAAAAATGTGATGTTTGAATTGATATACAAGTTTACTTTGCATCACTCAAAGCATATTTTTAATATTTTTTTAATATAATATTAAATATTAGAAATGAAAAATTTATAAAATTTAAAATATTTATTCTCATCAAAATATTGCTACAATTTAAAAAGTGCTTCGACTACAAAATCTTACACTTGTAACCACAAGACCTTAACTGAACGCCCAATCAGCCTAATGATTCATCTGAACCAATTCCTCACATTCGTCCCAAAATACTCAAAAGAAAGCAGTGCTATCTACTCATTACATGAGTATTTTAATTTTTAACCATATAATAGTGTTATAATTTCTTCAAATCAAATTATTCAATGTTAAATATAATATTGTAAATATCATACATATGCATACATTTGTATATATCATGCTATTTAAAAAAAATATTATGTTTATTAATATAAAATTATAGGAAAAATTATAATAATAATATATGATTATTATTATATTATATTAAATGTACACTAAAATTGGAGGTATATATATTATATAATATAGGTACTGTATAATTCAAATAAAGTGAAAACAATTGAATTACTTTTCATCGCATACAAGTTACATTCTTATACAAAAATAAACAAGGTCCAGAAAAAAAATTCTACTAATTTAATCATTTTTATTACCTTTCATTAATGTGTGACTGATACATTGCATTTTATCCATCATATTATTATAACTTGATATAGATGTTGGACTTATATTTGTTAAATTTTGTTGTACATTTTGGGACAATACTGTTTAGCATAAGAATATTATTATTATAGTTATTAATATATAATATATTAATATATAATTAAGTTTACCAGTATTTTGTTCAGAATTGTCTTTATCATAATTTATTTCTGATTGCTCCACTATATCAGGTGAGTTTTCTTTACTGCTGCACATATCAAATAAGCCTGAAAAGCAAATTCAGTTGTAGTAATTATTAATAGCTTTAAAATAAACTTAGAAAAATTAAACAAGTTGTATAACATTATGTTTTTATTATTTTTATTATTATTTTTTTTAATCATATAACAGCTTTTGGGCTTAGTCATGATTCATGAGGGTATTACTTACCATTATAATGCTTAGGACCGTTTTTATAATGTATTGCATAGTGCCGGTTAGTGCTAACTGCACTATGGTGGCATTCTACAGGATAATTATTATCAGTTATAGTGCTCACCAGCACTTTGCCATACGTAGTAAGAACGGCCCTTAAGTCTTAAAAAAAAAAAAAAAAATTAATAAAATACTAAATAATAGAAATACCAGGAGGTTTTGGAGCTTTCTCTAAATCCATGGACGATAAATAGTAATTGCGATGAAGTATTGAATCACTTCCGTCTGAATCAATTTGTTTATTATTATTTTTCCTTTTTAATCCTAGATTACAATTAAATGTATTATTATCTAGAAGTTGTGCTGTAAATAATCAATAATCTTTTATCATACAAACACAATAAAAAATATACAAGGTGATTTTTTAATTACATAACACTCATTTTTTGAAAAAGCATTAACTTTTTTGGAATTCTTCTTTTGGAAAATGTTCTCAAATAGTCAAATCTTGGTTATTTGAGTAGTATGATATTTTTCATCCCTTTGGTTTGACCCTAATTGAGTAACAACTTTTGATTTTTAAATAGCAACCCCTTTATTTTATACCAGAAAAGTATTAAAGTTAATACATTTTCAAAAACTAAATGTACATTGAATGTACACAATGTTGTGTCGTCAAAAAATTAACCTGAATATATTATGTATAAACATGCATTATAATATGTGTGACTTTTTAAATGTACACAAGTATTAACATAACTTTTGTTGATTTTGTTAATAATTAAGTTCCAAACACAACTGATTACACGTTTTTGAACTTACTTTTATTTGCGCCTTTACTTAATTCAATATCCCTTGTATATTCAGTGTTCTTGTTAGAAGAATCAAAGAACTGCTTTTTTTTACGTTTTCTAGACTTATCTACATTTTCCACCTCTGTTGAACTGGTAATACAAAATGTTGTTAATTTTTTCTTTGCTACCTCATATGATTCTGAAAGTTTTGAAATAAATACAAGAAGTTTTAATAAATATTTTAGCCTAAACATAATATTCTTAAGTTGAATCACAAACCAGAAAACTTTCGTGGAATGCATTCAAATTTATCCCATACATTTGTTGGTGGTTTTTGGGAGGCTGTATAGCGGGAAGCATTACTACTTCCCGGCCATCTACAAGTAAATTTTTGTAGTATCTCATCAACAATGATCCAGTTACTTGGGACTATTTCAATACATTGTTCCTCCTCCAAAAACTCAATAATAACAAACTTGTTTAATTTCAGATTTTCAACAATAGCTATAAAATTTGCGGCTAAGTATGAATCTATATTTTTAAAAGAATTAAAAATTATTTTTAATTAATATATGAAATATTACAATTATTTATTATGTCTAAAGTGGGTATTATTACTTTCAATAGCTAATATATGTCCAAAATCTGTTATCCAATCCAGTGTATTAACTTGAACATATTTCTCTGATTTACTTTTCCTATTGTTAAGTGGTCTATACCATTCATATATTTTACCTCGTATTTGACCAATAACAGGAACAGGATAACCTATCTCTAATTTAAGCCACGTGGTTGGAATAGGTATTGCTAATTTGCTGTTGTCCGAGGCAACAACAATATAATATGACTTGGTCTCCATACTAAACAAATAAAATACATAAATAACCTGTAAATATAAATACCTATTTATATAATAGATATATTTATTACAAACTAGCACTTATTTTAAATTAGTTAAATTTAATAAACTATTACCTAGTTATAAATATGAAGCAATGAACATACATAAAATTTATTTTGTTCCCATTGTAATTCTTTATCAGAAAAAGGAAAATAAGAAGCCTTGAATTTAACACTATTAATATGAAACAATTGAATTGTAGATGATATTCTACTACATTCAAATATTCCAACTGATGTAGAAGAGCAAGGGATGTTGTAAAAAGGATCAACTTTTTCAAATGTAGAACATACTAAGAAAATTTCTCCATTCCGTTCAACAATATTCTTAACGATGCATATAACATTTGATGACATAATCACACAATCATCTTTTTTGGTACTTCTTCTTTTTAGTTTTTGAATTCGTAGAGTATATGTCAGCATGAATAAAATAGAATATTGAGTGACAGATTCAGCCCGTATATTTTCTGGCAATGGACCTTCATTATGATGACCATCGAGCAATGGGTACAGTGGTATTTCAGAAATATCAGTATGACTACATATACGTTCTTCTATGATACGGTTATGAAGTTGAACTAATGGAGAAGGACCTGGTTGTAATATTTTTTTCAAATGCTGTAAATAATTTTCAAAAGGAAAAGCTGAAAAATTATCTACTACACCATATTTTTTGCAGTCATTTGCCAAATGAATAAACGAATGTACATTGTATGAAACATTTCCACTGCCAAATACGTGAGAAAATGTTTTTACAAAATGTTTAGCTAAAGCATTGGCATAATCATTTTGGCTGTAAACAGTTTTACTACAGCTCAAAATTCTCATGACAATATTAAATATTATTAAATTGTTATAAACAGGTAAACTAACTATATGTTTAAATAAAAATGGTCCCGTGTACAACATTATTTGTCTTAGTTCTGTAGCTTTAAAGGTATGGAAGTCACTTAAGTTGTATGGTACACGAACAAAGTCTGAACATAGATATTTTGAAATAATTTTCAAACGATTATTTACTAAGATGATTTGATCCTTAGAAAGTCGAATTTGACCACATGAATTAACAACTTTGGACCCTCTTACAATACAATGTAATATTTTTTTCATTATACCCAAGCAACAAAGATGCATATAGTCCAAAGGGATACTTGAGACAAGCCCAATACCAGTAATATCTAATAAAGGAGATATACCAACATGATGTTCTTCATTAATACGGTTTAAAAATGAATCATCAGTACGTTCTTGAGCAGTTTCGTCATTAAATGATACACTACCATACAAATACTCTCCTTCAACCATACATTTTTCACAACTAAAGTATCCAGAGTGCCCTTTAACCTGTTTAATATAAGCTCGAGCAGGTGCATCCGCAATTATTCCTTTTAAATGTATAATTATATTGCTATCATCAACTTGCAAACCATTATTTATAAGATCATTAAGTTCATGAATAAAAGGAGAGAGGTATTCACGAACATTGCATGGTTTTTTTTCTCCAAAATAAGAACCAATAATGAAAGGTTTTATTGAATTATCAACAAAAACACCACATAGAATAGGCCACAATGATTTACCCTTTCTGTCAATAGGCAATCCATCAATATTGAACCATAATTCAAGGACCGTTAGTTGACGAACGAATGGATCTCTATTTAATAAATGTTTTAATCCATTAGAGATACCAAAATGGATGTACTGACCACCAGTGATTGTTTTTATTTCTACACTTCCTGATCGGGGAGTTGATAATAAGGTCCTGGAATCTGTTGGTAATGATTTTAAGCTCTCCAAATTATCCACAGATTTTAATAATTTTAATAATTCTGAAGCACGACTTCTTGGAAGTCGAGAATTAGTTATAAACGAGGCTAGTTTTAAATCAAAAGTATTCAAATCAGGCACATGTTGAGGAATATTTATTTCTCTAAGCTCCAAACATAGTTCAGGCTCATTATTAGAATAATGTTCAATAACTCCTGGTAACGTATTATAGGTTGAATCTATTTGAGAACATTTCTCAGGTGGTTCGACTTGTTCGGATTGAACAGAAATAAGCGGAGAAATAATATTATCTGTGTTGTTGACTAAATAATTAATTTCAAAAATCTTTTCTCTCCGTCTTTTAGAAACTTGTGATAAGCAGCTACTAGGCTTATAAGCATTTTTGGGCATTTCCTTAAATTTTAAAACAAAATCAATCAATCAAAAAAACAAACATTCATATAATTACTAAAACTAATTATTTATATAGCTTCATGAAGCTATATAAATGCATTTATTTCAATTCTAACTTATACCAAAATGTAGCACTATAAAATGGATTAATACCACTTTTATGAAAATTATAAAAGAAAAAATTATTAAACTTGTATCAACTTAAGTTAGTAATTAATAACCTTACTGTCCCCGAGACTTTCCCTACAGTACCTAGTTTTAAACAATTTTATGCTTTTTTGTGTGATTTTGAAGAGCGGTTCATAAAAATATGTGATGCATTTTAGTACCTTACTGGTGGGTGGATTTAATTAATAATATTTCAACACTTAATACCTATATATATACTTAGTTATACATATATATATACGATATACCTAAGTATATTTTATATTTTATCTATCATTGAATAAATACAATTTATAAAATCTAATAGGTACCATACTAACTAGTTAGATAGATATATAGCTAGATAATATTTAATTAATTCAAACTCCAATTACACCTTTAATAATTATATTAAAACACTAATTTTATTGACGAACTGCGCGCTGTCACACACAGGCCAGTATAATATTACCCTAGTATAAACGTGGTAGGTACCTACCTAAATAATAATATAATTTATAAAGTATCAAAGTACTTACGTCAATGATCAGCTGTATACTCGAACGTCAATCAAACAAGCACACTTTATACTAGTAATTATAGTAATATATAAGCTTATATAACTTATAAACAAAAACAATACAATACAAAAACTAGTATACTTGCACTAGTATACATGTATAAGTAATAATAATTATTATTAAACTTTTATTTAAATTCAAACATCGTCATTACGTTACTCTTTATATGAACACAAATCACAATATTATGGACATTTTAAGACAGTTATAACTAATATACTAATAAAGGTAACTAATAAGTAATATTATGTGAACCAAATAAAACGCGAATCAACATCAGCAGACAGCAGCTAGCGGACATGTCGTACAATTAGTAAACGCGTCTTGACTCTTGATTCCTCGCCGACCGTTTGTGTAAAATTACGTTAGTGTGAGTAGCTCCTCCGTGGCTCCGTACCACTACCCGCCCGCCATTCGAGTTGGAAAGCCGTTTTAAAATAGAACTCATGGATAATATACCGACTCCGAGTACTGAAATACCCAATACCCATATATACCAATAATACTTGTGTTCATATAGTAAAATAATTCATCGTACCGTATGATCTCGAGCTCTGATAATTAATATCAATAATATTAGATTATAAATTATAATTAATACAATAGTTATTTACTATTTTATTAAAACCGCACCACCCGCCCGCATACCGGATGTATGTTCCGTCTATGAGTATAAGGTCTATGGAAATACCCGAAAAAACACGTACGCTATCAATAATACACTATCACAAAACACAATCGAGATAAATAAATTATAATATTGTATAATTATAACTACTCTATAAAAACTTAACAATAATTTAAAAACCGAATTATAATATTAATTTTCTTGCGTGTTCTTCATATTAATATTAATATCAGATTATTGTACAACTTTTAGATTCTGAGTGGAACGATGAATGTATTGATTTTACAATGATGTGTGTTTTTTTATTTTTTTTTTTGTCTGTCATCACGTTTTAGGACAGTAAAAGTGCTTGGGTTTTCTTCAACAGTAGCTTTTCTGATAGGAAAGTGAATCTAGATTCTAGTTGGTACTTTGGGGGGTCAAAAGTGAAAATTTTGTTGTGATTGTATAATATATTATTCGTGGGTACTTGAAACTTCTAAAGTACACTATTATATATCTATGGAGTATGGACTATGATATTATCAGGGTTTGTTGTTGACGTATAACGCATTATAAGTACCGTATGGATTTTGTGATATGGTTAATTCGGAATTTATTATAGGTAATTTTTTTTTAATACGATAGATTAGTATATAATATGTCTTATACCTAGACTGACATAAAGTCTCCGCTCAGAATGGTTTTTCTTATACAAATATACAATGATAATACATCGTTGAATTCAAATTTAATATCATCCATTATACAGTGACCCACTTGTAACCTACTGTACAGCAGAGCACCTTTTTTTTTATTTGTTGGATCTTTCAGCCTTTGACAAGGCCTGAAGGAGTTGGAACTTGCAAGTAGGCTAAATGGAAAAATCATGGTACGTTCCGACACATGTGATAAAAAATATTTTGAGGCTCCCCCAATTTTACAATGGCCGATTGGCGCCCTGGGCTGTAGCCTACTCAGCCTATTGGTTAATGATGTCCTGGCCTTTGATCAACTACTTTAATTAATTTTATTTTGGAGACTTAGTTATCAAACATATTTAATATATTTGAAGCTTCATCAAAAAGGAGGCACTGAAAATTTGTGAATAATCAAATTAAAAAAATGTTTGATTACGTATTAAAAACTCACAACAAAATCATATATTGCCGTATTGGTATTATTATTATATTAATTAGTATACTAATTACTAATAATATGTATCAACGTATTTTAAACCTAAAATATTCGTATATCCTTACACGTAAATCGATTTAAGTTCGACCAACCAATATTACACGTATGATCGACGTTAATTAAACGTAGTTTTACCACGGAAAATATACGAATATGTATCAACGTATTTTAAACCTAAAATATTCGTATATCCTTACACGTAAATCGATTTAAGTTCGACCAACCAATATTACACGTATGATCGACGTTAATTAAACGTAGTTTTACCACGGAAAATATACGAATATGTATCAACGTATTTTAAACCTAAAATATTCGTATATCCTTACACGTAAATCGATTTAAGTTCGACCAACCAATATTACACGTATGATCGACGTTAATTAAACGTAGTTTTACCACGGAAAATATACGAATATGTATCAACGTATTTTAAACCTAAAATATTCGTATATCCTTACACGTAAATCGATGTAAGTTCGACCAACCGATATTTCACGTATGATCGACGTTAATTAAACGTAGTTTTACCACGGAAAATATACGAATATGTAACAACGTATTTTAAACCTAAAATATTCGTATATCCTTACAAGTAAATCGATGTAAGTTCGACCAACCGATATTACACGTATGATCGACGTTAATTAAACGTAGTTTTACCACGGAAAATATACGAATATGTATCAACGTATTTTAAACCTAATATAATCGTATATCCTTACACGTAAATCGATGTAAGTTCGACCAACCAATAATACACGTAGTATTAACGTATATTATACGAATATTAATTACGTATATATATACACCAATATTATCCTTAGTATACACGTATATTATACGTGCTGTGTTTACTGGGTATATTCTTCTAAAAATGAAAAAGAGATAAATTATATTTTTAAAATTGAATTATGTACTCATAAGAGCCTAATTCAATTTCCTAAAAATAATTGACTCCTTGATGTCCTTAATAGTTAATATTATCAATTTATCAACCAACTATTCTTGTCATTAATTTGTATAATTTATTGTTTGACTGCATTTTTGCCCATTGTTAGACCATTTTTCCACTGTTACCGTACTCTGCATACTGTCATAGTAACTATAATATGTATAATGTATATCACATATTTATAAAACATCCATTTATGCATTACAACTGTGCATTGTGCCTACATTTTTTAATTCCAAATATAGTTCTATACCTACATCTTACAATTCCTACATTTCATACTTTACACCCAGATAATCCTACATTAATCCATAAGTCATAATTAAATATCATAATAACAACAATAAATAATGTATTTTAATATGTCACTCTTGAATACAATAAGTAATAACATAACCGTACACTGTATTTTGTACCATACACCATAGTAGCCAGTAGGGTATTATATTAATCAAACTAATAAACTATGTAGGTATACGTATAACAATATAATACTGTCATATTATCATAAATATTATTATTAATATAACTAAATTGTTCAACAACAATAATAAATGTTTTAAATATACGGCTATACGTTTGTTTTTTTCTCCACGGTAAATACACCATGTCCAAGCTGGAATTTTCCGCTTAGATGACACTGATTTTCCCGTTTTTCCGTACTGTACATCCATAGGCGTGCGCACGGGGCAAGCCGGTCAAGCCCAGGCTCGACCTGAAACTTTTTATGGTAAAATGTGCGTAGGTATATATTTAAATATTTTATTATAATGCTTATATTATAATAATATGTTCGTGGAGATCATGAACATTTTGTTTGTCGTGAAAGTATAAATCGACTTCACAAATCAAAAATATTTGTGTGTACCGACCACTACATATATTTAAATTTTAAACATTTTATTAATCTAACAAAAACATTATAGGTACCTTTATACAAATACAATAACTATAGTACTATAGACATTAATAGGTTAATACATCAACATGTATGTTGGTGTGTTAAAAAAAAATTAGGGGCGCTGTCCAAATATTAGAGCACTACAATTGCCTAGGCTCGACCAGAAATTTGAGTCTGCTCACGCCTATGTGTACATCACAGGGGATTACACAGTCGTTATCCACCTATTTGCCGCTCACACAAAAATATTTCCCGTATTGAATTTTACTGGGAGATTTCACTCAGGGGAAATTTTTACTCAAAATCGTTTTTTGTGTAACTCTGAAACAAATGACCGTGGATACATATTAAGTACAAATTTTCTGTAAATTTGAGTTTTAAACTTCAGCTCACGTTCTCACTCCATCTACCTATAAGAAACGGTCCGCGTGTCAAAATATAACATACGAAAAATAAATAAATAGGTAGGTACCTATACTAAATATAGGGCGAATGTAAGTTTCCACACGAAAAAAATTGTACTATAGGTAGTCATACTGTGTAATGATTTTTAAATTGTAATCTGATATTTTGTTGTTGATATAGTTTAAAACCTATAGTATTTTGGCT